AATGAATTATCCTAAAATTCAGTGGCTTAATACAACATTTTATTTTTAAAACTAGCTTAGCTCTGTTGTTGTTGTTCAGTCACTAAGTCATGTCCAACTCTTTGCAACCCCATGGACTATAGCACACCAGGTTCCTTGGTCCTCCACTATCTCCTGAAGTTTGCTCAAATTCATGTTCATTGAGTAGATGATATCATCCAGCCATCTCATCGTCTGTCACCCGCCCTCAATCTTTCCCAGCATCAGGGTCTTTTCCAATAAGTGGATCTTCACATCAGGTGGCCAAAGTATTGGAGTTTCAGCCTCAGCATCAGTCCTTTCAGTGAATATTCAGGGTTGATTTCCTTTAGGATTGACTGGTTTGATCTCCTTGTAAGGTACTCTCAACAGTCTTTCCAGGCACCTCAATTCAAAAGAATCAATTCTTCGGTGCTTAGGCTTTTTTAAGGTCCAACTCTCATATCCATACATGACTACTGGAAAAAATATAGCTTTGATTAGATGGTCATTGTCTGCAAAGAGATGATTCTGTTTTTTCATACACTAAGTTTGTCATAGCCTGTCTTATAAGGAGCAAGCGTCTATTAATTTCGTGGCTGCGGTCACCATGTGCAATGATTTTGGAATCCAAGGAAAGAAAGTCTGTCACTGCTTTTATTTTTTCCCCTTCTATTTGCCATGAAGTGATAGAATGGAATGCCATGGTCTTAGTTTTTTGAATGTTGAGTTTCAAGCCAGGTTTTTCACTCTCCTCTTTCACCCTCATGAAGAGGTTCTTTAGTTCTCCTTCACTTTCTGCCATTAGTTGTATCATCTGCATATCTGAGGTTGCTGATATTCTTGCTGGAAATCTTGATTCCAGCTTGTGATTCATCTAGTCCAGCATTTTGCATTAGCTTAATGCCTCTGATTCTCAGATTTCTTACAAGGCTACAAATAACATGTTAGCCAGGATCACTGTCTCATTTGAAGCTTGACTGGGGAGGGATCTGCTTACATGAGAACTGGTTCTTTACTATATCAATGGTCTCATTTCCCTGCTGGAACTATCAATTCCTTGCCATGTTAGCCTCTCCAAAGGGCAGCTTCATACTACGGCATCTGACTTCCCACAAAGCAAACAAGAGAGCGAAGGAGACTGCACAAGATGGAAGCCACAGTCTTTTGTAATTGAATCTTGAAAGTGACATCTTACTATGTACTTTGAAATCAATCATTAGGCGGAGGATACTCTCAAGGGTAGGGGACTACCAAGGGCATGAAGACCAGGAAATGAGAATCACTGGGGGTTATCTTAGGGGCTGCCAACCAAAGCAATGTAAAGTGTGAAAAAGAGCAGAAAGACACTCTGGAATAAGATCACAACCAATTAATAGATTCTATATTTTTTAATTTGCCAGCTTGCTAAAACTTGTAACTTCAAAATCAATATTCATCACACTTTCTCAGTCATTTACAGACAGGTGCATAGCCATGAACAATTTGAGTCACTCAACACACACATTTACAGCTGGGGTGGGACAATAAGAGGATCCCATCCCTGTGTTTCCCCTCAAAGCAAAGGTTCAATATTCACTAACTCATTGTAGAGACTTTATAACTATCACGAATAACAAGAATCAATGGTAGTGGGTTTGAAATCCAACTCCATCACTTGCCCAGCTGTGCCATTTGGGGCCAGTTTTTTTTTAACATCTCTGTTTTATTTTCATTAAGAAGAAAATGGGAATGGCAATAGACATTCAACCATGGGCTTTGGGGAGGATGAGCTGTAATGTTCTCAGCACAGTAGATGGCACAAAGAAAGTGCTTAATAAATAAGAGATATTTAACTATTATTGTCTGAGCTCAGTTTCATCTGAATTATACCAGATTTTCTGAAGACTTCCTTTCTTTAATTATGGGATAGTGCTGGGCACAGAGTAGGCACTCATAACTACCTGTTGAATTAAATAAGGATTCCCTGACTCTATCAGGCAGACGATCTAAGAGCTGAAGGAGAGTGAAGATGTCTGTGTCTGGCCTCTGGTTTTGATATCATAATTGTGGCTGGTGGGGGTGGGAGTGTGTTAAACATTATACAAACTCTCACACCAGAACCCACATCAAGACACTAAATCCATAGTATTGACAGACTGTTGACTCACTGCCCCCAGGAACTGGGAGAATGCCTGGCAGATGGAAATGTACCCAAGACACAGCAGTCGTGGTATTTTCCCCACGTTACCAGGCATGAGGCCAGAACTGGACTTGGCCATAGTACACAGTGGGATCAATCATCTGTAAATAAGTCGCCTACATAGTTTCAGAGATGATTTTTCATCTCTAAATGCAGAGTCATCGCTATAAGAGCTGAGACGTAAAATCTCTATAGCCTCTGGGTTTAGGATCTGACCTTGCTTTTGCAGTTTGCTCTGCAAGCCAAGGGCAGTGTCTTCCTCCAAAAGAGAGAGCATTTGGGAGCTCTCCAACACAGACTGTCTTGGGAGGGGGCCCAGAAGGATTTCAAAGGCTACCACCACTAGCCCTCTCTCGGGAAGGCAGAAAAGCTATTTGAGAAGATTATTAGGATCACAGCTGAAAGGGGAGTGGGCACTATACCCTGTTTTTTGAGGGCATTCTGAAGAAGCCTTGTGACTCAGATCCAATTAATCTCTCTAGGTGAAACAGGAATGGTAAACAGTACCTATTTTGCAAAGCCCATGGAGACTGACCTACATGAAAAAGAAAGCAACTTAAATATATTTCCAGTGAGGTCATTTGCCACCCACCTCATCTTCTCAGAGTTTATAAATAGCTTCTAATAACAGCTAACTTTTATTGAGCACTTATGACCCAGGTATTATCTTACCTATTCCTCACCAAACTCTATTATTCTCACTGTTAACAGATGCTGGAACTGAGACAGACTAATGAAGTAACTTGGCCAAGGTCACATAGCTAATAAGTGCAGAGCTTACCTCCACCTCATCTTGCATGACCCAGAAAAGGTATCTGTATTTTAACAAAAGTAACATTTTAAACTAAATACACAGTAGGAATTTCAGGTGGTATATCCACCTGGTGAGAAAGACATCTGGGGAAGACAGGTCCTGCACTGCACTTTACCCATTATTATCTTATTTCTGTTTGAGAGCTGACCAGGGATTGGACAATTAACCTCACTTATCATTTCTCCCTTCTCAGACATGTCTCAATCTTAAATAAGAAACTGATCAATTTGGTGCATTAATAGACTTTAGGGTCTCAAAGTTTAGGTAGCTGAGGAATGAAGTGGAGCAGCCCCTCAAATTCCACAGACACCACCACTCCTGCTTTATTTTTAAACAAAGTATCATTTATCCCATACCTATTTGGTCCAGGGACTGGACTCAGTACCTAAGAGACTTTATTGCTACCCCTCGCAAAAATTCATGAGCTAACTACTAACAAGTCCAACTTACAGATGAGAAAGTGAAGCCAAAATAGTCATGTGGCCTCTCAAGATGGACAACCAGTAGTAAATGAATCTGGGGGTCCTGTCCAGGGCTACTGGGTTCCAAAGCCAGACCTCCCACTTCACTACACTATGATCCCAGAAAGCTTCTTTGATGCTGCAAATCTGCTCCTAGTGCCAAAAATTTTCATTAGTCCAGTTGCTACTGGGTGGCAGCTGAAACTGCCAAGCTGGATAAAGGCTGTTGAGCTTTGCGAGAGATGGATGTGCCACATAAAACAAAAGCCTCTTTGGTGACAGAGAGGAAATGTGGCCCAAAACACCAGCAAACAAATAGTAAGGGTATAATGTGGCTAAGGCAGTAAGTTAACTTTTATCACACCAAGGAGAGGTGAAACAGGAAAGCCTTGTGTGCCAGGATTCCTACCTTGGATGTCAACCACAGCTCTAAAGAATGTTCTTATTCTACCACAGAAAGTTCAACTTATAAGCCAGCATGACAAAAATGCCTTCAAACAAGGAAAATTTTTCATGCAGTTATACCATCAACTGGAAGAAATCAAGATTAAAAAAAAAAAAGTCATAGGACAGAATCTGACAACCAACTATAAATTTGTTGTCTATTGAATCAAAATTGGCTTCAGCCACACAGATAGGCAAAAGTATAAATTGAAATGACATTTCTGGGTGGGGGGAGGGGGTAATTTAGTAATGCAGATCAAAGAGCTTAAAAATGTGCATCATCTTTGATGCAACCATTCTGCTTATAGAACTGTATCATAATATATAAGCACAAGTGAGGTCATCACAATGTCATTTTTTTAAGAAAAATAATACAAGAAATCTACAGGTCCAATAACAGGGATGGGTTGTACTTACAGCACCTGTGGTAAAACAGGCAGTGCTGGCTCAAAGCTCATGCTTTCCCTCTCAATTCTGCATCTGCTCCAGCGTTCCCTATCTCTTCTACCCAGGTGCACCAGGTAGAAATCTGTCCTTATCTCCCTTATCCAAGTAAGTCACGAAGCCCTGTCCCAGACAACTCCTAAAAGAGATCTCAAATCCATCTACAGTCATACCTCATTACACTTTCTTTTACTGCATTTTTTACCAATTGAAGGTTTGTGGCACCCCTTGATGGAGCAAGTCTATCCGAGCCAGTTTTCTAAAGGTATTACACACTTCATGTCTCTGTATAACATTTTGTCAATTCTCAAAATATTTAACACTTTTTCATCATTACTGTATTTGTTATGGTGATCTATAAACAGTGATCTTTGTGCCCTCCAAGATTGGAGTCTCTGTTTCCCCCAGTCCTGTAGAAGTTTTATAATCAAATCCCACAGGCCTTCAAGGTGAGATTCCCTGGGAATTCCCAGTCCATTTGTCAGATCCACAGGCTGGGAAGCCTGAAGTAGGGGTCAGAACTTTCACAACAATGGGAGAACTTCTTTGGTATTATTGTTCTCCAGTTTGTGGGTAACCCACCTGGCAGGTATGGGATTAGATTTTATCATGATTATGCCCCTCCTACCATCTTGCTGCAATTTCTTCTTTGTCTTTGTACAAAGGGTATTTGTTTTTGGTAGGTTCCAGCATCCTCCTGTCAATGGTTGTTCAACAGCTAGTTGTAATTTTGGTCACAGGAGGAGATGAACGCACGTCCTCTGCCATTTTGAACCAGAAGCCCTGTAATTAGTGATATTTGATGTTACTGTTGTAATTGTTTGGGGGCACCACAAAACACACTCATATGAAACTGCAAATTTGATGAATGCTATGTGTTCTGTCTGCTCCACTGACCAACTTGTTCCCCCATCTCTCTCCCTCTTTGTGGGCCTCCTTATTCCCCGAGACACTCCATGGATCAATGAAGAATTTTAAATTTTGTGTCTCATTGTTTAAGAAATACATTTTATAAGGCTACAGCTGCCATAAATAATGATTCCTCTGATGAATCTGGCAAAGTAAATTGAAAATTTCCTGGAAGGATTCACCATTCTACACACCATTAAGAACATTCATGATTCATGGGAAGAGGTCAAAGTATCAACATTAACAGAAGTTTGGAACAAGTTGATTTTAACCCTTGTGGATGACTTGGAGAGGTTCAAGACTTCAGTGCAGGGAATAACTGCAGATGTGCCAGAAATAGCAAGAGAACTAGAATTAGAATTGGAGCCTAAAGATGTGACTAAATTGCTGTAATCTCAAGATAAAAATTTAATGGATGAGGAGTTGCTTCTTATGGATGAGCAAAGAGAGTGCTTTCTTGAGATGGGATCTGCTCCTGCTGAAGATACTGTGAAGACTGTTGAAATGACAACAAAGGATTTAGAATATTGTATCAACTTAGTTGATAAAACAGAAACAGAGTTTGAAAGAACAGACTCCAATTTTGAAGGACACTCTATTGTGGGTAAAATGCTATCAAAGAGCACTAATGCAAGATACAGAGAAATCATTCATGAAAGAGTCAATTGATGCAACAAACTTCACTGTTAACTTGCTTTAAGAAATTGCCACAGCCACCTCAACCATCAGCAGCCACCACCTCGATCGGTCAGCAACCATGGACATTGAGGCAAGACTCTCCACCAGTGAAAAGACTATGACTCACTGAAGACTCAAGTGATGGCTAGCATTTTCTAGAAATAAATTATTTTTAATTAAGGTATGTACAGTTTTCTCAGACATAATATTACTGCATAATTAGTATATGCAGTATACTATAGGATAGTATAAACATAACTTTTATATGCACTGGAAAACCAAAAAAATCATAGGACTCTCATTACTACAGTATTTCCTTTATTGTGTACTTGTACCAAACACCCAATGTCTCCAAGGTATGCATTTATTTCTGTGTCCACTTGCCAGTGTCCACTTGGCATAACAATAGTCCAAACCACCAGTCCTTCTCTCCTGGACCCTTAGGTTCCCTGTATCTGCAAAGGATTTCCACTGTGCCTAGAGTTGCCTTTTAAAAGGAAATCTGCTTAATTTCCTCCAGTGCTTTCTTCTCAAAGCCTTCTCAGTGTATTAGTGATTTAAAAATTTCACCGCATGTCCAACTGCAAGATCGTAAAGCAGACGTGCAAACTTTTCTGTAAAAGCCAACTAGTAAACATTTTAGGTTTTGCAAGCCATTCAGTCTTTGAAGCAACTATACATTTTTGACCTCACATTTTTCAACCTCACAGCATGAAAACAACCATAGACATTACATAAGTGAATATACATGTTTCTGTTCCAATAAAACTTTATTTTTAAAAGTAGGTGGTGTGCTGGATTTGGCCCAAGGACAGTAGTTTGCTGATACTTGCTCCTTAGAATATGACTCTTATTCCCCTCTCCAACTTCCACAAATCTCTCTCATCTAGTCACTGTCTCCTCATCAGGACCCCAGGAAAGCTGTTCCCTCCACCAAGAGTTTTCCCGTTCCCTTCTGCTTCCTGCCTGCACACTATTCTTATCTCCTTGACCCAACAAGGAGTTGGGTCAACAATTCCTTTTCTGGCCAGCAATTTCTCACTACTCTGGTCTCAGTTTCAGGGTCCATTCCTTAGATGATCCCTCTGATGCACTATAGGTTAGGTTAGAATCCCCATACTCTCAAAAGACGATTTGTCCTTAGTGGCATTTGCCAAATTTGAGATTAAAAATGTCTTAATGCAGTTGTGTGTCTCTTCTGCTAGAACCACAGTCTAGGTAAAAGATTATGCATACTATTATCACAACTGTATTCTCAGTGCCTAGCAAGGTGCTTGATACACACGGAAGCATGAATATTTGTGGAATTGTTGACTGAATAAGTGATCACACAACTAGGGAAAAAACCCAAATGGATATGTACTGAAATATTAGGAGATAAATATATAGTTGGTTTTTATTTTCTTCTTATACATTTTCTACATTTCTCAAGTTTTCCACAAAGAACATATATTACTAGTATACTCAGAAAAATAATCAATGTCAAAAAAAAGAAAGGACTAGAAAAAAGAGGGATTCTGCTTCCATCTTTAACTAAGCTGCAAGATGCCTATTTTTGGTTTACTCTGCATTCTAGACCATCATCTTTCCTCTGCTTGTTCAGAGCTGCCTAATAACCCCCTCAACTTCTTTTCTTGTTGCCTTTACCTGGCCATTCCTCATGTTTACAGGTAACTCCATCTGATCCAGGAACATCTGTGTACCTGGGCAGTGATCTGAGTCCCTACTTTCAGGAAAGCCTACAACAGATGGACACTAGTGTATCTACACCCATGAGGTCTAGTTGGCCTTCAAGGGTCTTCCAGCTCCAGGTTTAAGAAGGGGTTAAGCGATCAACTGCAGCCCTGTGAGATAATTAGCACCAGTGGCTTTGCAATGCAGAAATTGTCCGTGCAAATGAAAAGTATGAGAGCTAACTTATTTCTTTCACTCACCAGTGGCTCAGCTTCAAACATCTGGTCATTTCCATGCCAGGCTGATCTCCAAATAGTACTCAGGGGCAATAGGCCACATGGCCACTGTGTTCCTATTCTTTCATCTAGTAATTCCCTCTACATTTAAGAGGAAGCCAATGACGATGAGACTAATTATTATCTCCATTTAGAGATAACATTTTAGTCATCTTTTGAAAGAATCTATGTGAATAGAATAAATAAAAATGTGTGGATTATATAAAAGATTGTGGAGCTATACAGAAGTAAAAGGCTTACCTCTGTCCTTGATTCATAAACTTTCCAGACTACTGCTTATTCAAAAATATATCAGAAAGACGACAATATGAGGTAAAGTAAATAGCAGTAATAGTTGTCAAAGGAGTGCAGAGACAGCTGAAGGCAAATTAGACCTCATGAGTGTGGGTACACAAGTGTTGATCTGTTGGGTTTTCCTGAAAGTGGGGGCTCAACTCAAATCACTGCCCAGGTACACAGATGTTCCTGGATCTGATGGAGTCATCTATAAATATGAGGAATGGCCATGTAAAGGTAACAAGAAGAGAAATTGAGGGTTTTATTAGGCAGCTCTGAACAAGCAGAGGAAAGTTTCCTCCCTTTGTTAGGAAAGGGAGAAAACAAATGCAGTTTACACTTTCCCTAGATCTCACAAAATCAAGGCCATTATCTCACACCGCTAAGTTTCTCAGTATATCAGAACATTATTGGTTATTCTGTTATTGGTTATGGAAAATTCCAACTCAAAAAGGACTTATGTAAAAAAGCAAATATCACTTCACATTTAATAAAGTCCAGGGGTAGGGAAGGAATTTGTTGTTTAGCAGCTCACACAGTCATCCAGAATCCTGCTTTTTTCCAACTCTTCACTCCACGATCAGTGATTGCTTCAACTTCATACTTAAAATTACAACAGCTGCAGCAACTACAGGCATGACATTGAGACATGGCAATCCTTTTGGTTTTCTGGTAGGAATGAGAAAACTTTCCTTGGAAACCCTCCAAGAGATTCCCTGAATATACCACTGGCTAGAGTAGGGTCACGTGACCCATGAAACAAACATTGCAAAGGGACAGGTATGACCCTTAGACCAGCTAGATCCCCAGTGAAGCTAGGGGTAGGATCAGCTTCTCCTGAAGCATGTGGTTACATAGGAATAACTTCTGTTAGGAAAGGGAGGAAACAAATGCTAAGCAGGCTACCAACAAAGTCTATCACCCATGGTTAATTCTAAAGGTAAAAGACATTTTATACCTGCAGAACCCGATGCTACAATTACCTTTCCAGCTTCGTCTCTTACTACTCTACATTTCCCCATCACACACACACACACACACAGACTCACACACATGCATCCTAGACTAACCAGATTGCAATCCTTGCAGTCCTTCAAAAGTAATGTGCTTTTTCATACCACTCTAGAATTCTTCCTATGTCTCATCTCTAGGCTAATTACAATCCCCATTTGCCTAGAGCAATTCTGGCTTATACCAGTTGTCCTAACTTAACCACCAACTCTGCCCCCTTTATTTTTGAAATGTTCCAATTTAGATAAGAGCACAAAAAAATATTAAGGAAAGAAAAAAAAAAGTTTGGGGGACTGGATGTGGAGAATCAAAGAGAGAAGATGGACTCCTGGGTATCTGACATTAAGAGGTTGGATATAAGTGTCATCAGGGAATTAAAGAGAGAGTATAGTTTAGGGGAGAGGCTTCCCTTGTAACTCAGTTGGTAAAGAACCTGCCTACAATGCAGGAGACCCAGGTTTGATTCCTGGTTTGGGAAGATCCTCTGGGGGAGGAAATGGCAACCCACTCCAGTATTCTTGCCTGGAGAATCCCATGGACAGAGGAGCCTGGCAGGCTATAGTCCATGGGGTTGCAAGAGTCAGACACGACTTAGCAATTAAACCACCATAGTTTAGGGAAGAAGTTAACGAGTGAAGTTTTGGACTTGGGAGATAGTCAAATACAAACGACCATCTTAAAGCTAAGTTTAAAATTTCAAAAGAGAAAAGCCTCACCTGGAGACAGAAAGTTGTGAGTCAATAGTATCTCAATAACCTGAAGTCCTGAATATAAATGAGATAGCTCAAAAGAGACATAGAATTAGAAGATGCCCATAGCCAGAACTGTGGTGAGTCAACATTTAGAAGTCATAAGAAAGGAGAGGAGGCACTGTTGCAGATTGAGAAAAACCGACCAGAGAGAAAACTGGAGAACTGACGGAGTGGAAGCACTGCAGCC